TGATTGGCCGCCTGCTGAAAAAAAAGCTAAGGAGGCCTATGGCTCTGCACAGCTGCATGGGATCAACTCTGAAGATAAAACTAACATGTCAGTGTTTTTTGGCCACCTATAAACCTGTCTGCACCTGCAGATGAAAAATAAACAAGCCATTTAGTCTGTCAGTGTGTACTGAATTGCCTGTGAAAAGCATTGAGAGCCTTAAGAGGCAACAAACAATCTTTGTATTTCTTTCATGGGTTCCTTGGAGTTTGCTGTAGCTGATTCTTGCTCTCACTAACACTCCTGAACTCGTTGCTGAATTTCACCACTGAACCAGCTTGAGGCCTGGACTGGAGCACAAGGTCAGGCCACAGGCACAGAATAGTGCCAGGCTTTCTAGCATTCAGGTTTTTGGCTGACAAGGCCTTGTGCTTCTTCAAGCACCCTCTGCCCTTCCCCACTGCCGTCTCAAATAATTGAAGAATATTTCAAGATCACGTGTCAGAAATCTGCACATAACTGATGTAACCCCTGCATGTTCTGTGATGCTGCAGTGCATTCTGAGAATGGCCCAAACCTGTTTCAGGAAACTGCAAAGGAAATGAGGAGATAAGATATTTCTGTTCCATGTACACAAACACTCCTGGTTGACCATGGCAGCACTCTGCATAGGCTGCCAGGAGAAAGGAGCCTTTCCTTGGTTTGTTGCTAATCTGTAAAATGACTCTAAGGGGTGAAACCTGATAGTCCCAAGGGGAAAGAAGTGGGGTGGGATTAATTTAGTTTAATTTCAGACAGACTAAAATGAGATGTTGAGTCTTTCCTGCTGTCTTGATTGTCAATGGAGAGAGACAGGAACCACCAAAGTGTAATTCAGCCCACCAGTTGTAGACAGCTATTTTAGGATGGGCTGAGCTATCCTGGAGGTGCCTGTCCTTGGTGTTTGACTAGAGGGGATGCCCAATTCATGTGAAGCGCCTACATTTTAGATAGCTGAAGGTTAGGCAAGATGACTCCAAGCCTTGGTATCTAGTCCAACCTCACATGAGAAGGATAGAGAGAGGAACTTTGTATTACAGGGTGAAATGAAACATGCAGCAGGAGGCACCACAGGATTTGCATGTGTATTTCTGAGGCAGTATGGGGGCTGCTAAGGGGAATGCTGACACAGCTGTAAATAGAGCAGCACTAGCAGGCACCACCATGTGATGCTTGCTAATACTTTGTTCCCTGTCATTATGCTTCTGAAAATACACGTTTGTGGCGACAGGAGGACTCGGAGGGTAGCAGTTAGGACAGAGGCTAGCTTTATGGTTGTTTTTTTTCTGACTGGTCTAATAGCACTTCCAGTATATTTTCTGTATCCAAAAATAATGCTTAAGGTATTGTTTTATTTGTTTTGAAAGAACGCATCTGTAGAAGATTCCCCCTTGCCAAATTTTCTTTTTTTCTCCCCTGAGAACCAAGGTCATGGTGAATTTTCTTTAGTCATCAGAAGATGAGGCAGACCCTGCCTGCCCCCAACACCGGGTCAATTAGCATGAAAGTTGGTAGCATTGATGCAGGTCACTGAGGGGTGAGATTAAGTGTTTTTTGAGAGGCTGCGCTTCCTTCAGCAAACCTGACAGTGCTGTCCCTGATGGTAATGTGAATAGGAAGTTAGGTCCTGGAGTCAAAAACCAGACCCCAGTTCAGCATCACTAGTTACTTCATAGGCAGTCATGCTGAGCTTGGTGGTGCAGAAGATGTGAGGAGTGATGACTGTAAGGGTCCTGTAGGAAGGACCTGAGCACCTTCTCATAGGACTGATTAGTGTAGCCGCGATTAGTCTAGATTAGTCTAGAGCCCTTTCTGCAAGGGGGAAAATGGGCTCAAAGTATGCCCATGCACGTACAGACTTCATAGCACAGATATTTAATTAGCCCAACACTACTTGGAGCTTAGAATTCTGAGTGACAAATCACTTGTACTGCACATGCACAGCATACAGCTGTCTGCAGTGTAGATAATGCACTGCCTAGAGAGACTGGGCAGCCCCGGCTGTTATCTTAGCTAGTCTTATTGGCTTATATACTGTTATCATAGCTTCCTGGTGTGACGCACACTAGAATGGGGTCTGAACACATGATCTTTATTGTATATGCCTTTCATCGCAGTACCCTTGTGAAGCAAGGCAGAGTTGTTCTACAGGAGGAGGAGCAAAAGTGTACTGAGGGCTAACTCACATATCCAAGGACAGACAGTATGCTTGTGCCAGAACCTAGATCTACAACTATCTTGAGCATGATTGGAAAATCTGAGTAGATCATGCCATACCAAAAAAATTGCAGGGATGAAGTAGAGATTAGGCAAGGTTCAGTTCTTCCATATTCATTGAAAGACTTTGCTCACTTATGGACACAATGGTGTATTCCAAACATGATCTGTGAGCTTCTGTTGATATAGTATGATTAATTTAAAAGAATGCTTTCCTTGCACATTTGCTGGGCGTAGAGGAAGGCTGGAAAATGCAGAGCCTTTAGCATGTGTTTTGCTGTACACAGCAGTGCTGTTACTGAGTTGTGATACTGTTACAAGATTATGCTGATTGGGGTAATACAAGGAGAAAAAAAAACCCGGCAGACATTCCATGGATGCCCAGAAGACAGTTTGACCTCTCAGCATAGTAGGATTAGTAGTAGTTTTTTGTTCTTTTCATATGCAGTATCTGGGCCTAGCGTAAAATCCGTTAAATCTACAGACATCCTTTCACTGACTTCATAGAGGTATGAATCGGACCCCTAACACAAGAAAGAATAGCACAGATTAATTTTGTAGAAGAAAAAGGTTTGTTGTTTTTAAAGGAGGGGGGGAATAGTGAAAGATGAACAAATAAGGACATGTACCCTGGGATAATAGGGGACTTCAAGAAATAGAATACAGCATGGAGGAGAATGCACTGCTCAGGTGACACAGCAGCAAGGATCTATATCTCTGGGATTGTTTGGGACTTTTTTTTCCCCTCTTTTGCTTCACTTTAATATCTACAGTTAAACTGAATGTGAATGGGCTCTCTATCAGTAAAGCTGACAGAAGAATAGTCTGGGAAATGCTTTGAAACTGTGATTCTCTCTGACTCCTATTTTTTACCTTTTAAACATTGGCCATTCATACAGTTGGTGGGGAGGGAAGAGAGACTGAATACTTTGAAAAGATAACCAAATTTTAAAGATGAAATTTGGTGCAAAATCATCCTCAGTGTTTTAAAATTAGGATACGTTTTATTGGGTCAAATGTACACACGCAGTAGTTGTTGCATTGCTATGTGCAGACTTCATTATGCTACGAACAGGCGTGCATGAGTTTCCCTAAATTGCAGTGGTAGGGTCAGGTCAGACAGGGACACGTGCTAATTTCTGACTGAATCCAACTGCCGGTATATCTGTGGGTTCATATTTCAATTAAACTGAACTGCATGTTGGCTTCCACTTAAGAAAGGTTATGAAAAAGGAGAAGGAGCATAGAGGAATTATGTATACATGATATTTTCTTTATGATGCCCATGAACACCAGGCTAATTTTAGGAGATGGGATAGAATTCTATTTCTGTATTCATTTAGTTAGAGAAACATCAAATCCTTGCTGAGGTCAGCAGGAGTTGCGTATGCTAGGTGTTTGAGAAGGAAGTGTCTGGCTTGATGATTTAGATCAAGTGCCAAAAGTTTGAAACTCTTACAGAAGCAGCACTGGAAAATAGGGTCATTGTTTAAAAGAAAAATCCCTTAGTTCAAAAGAAATTGTTTAAATCACATGAAGGGGAAAGATTCCAAACTTGAAGTAATTTAATTTCTCCCTAATTATGAGCTATATAAAGAAAAAAGAGTCTTCCAGATGTTGGCAGAGCTTCCAATGTTGGTGCTTTGCTCACTCAGTGCCTCACTGTAACTAATGTGAGTGGGGAAAAGTGGTCCCTGTGCTGAATTGTAATGGCTTGTTAACAGGTGGGTGTTCTCTATCAGCAGATCTGGTGGGAAGATGTGCATCAGAGTCCGGCTAGTGCCATTAGTCCTTTACCCTTGTAAAGGCTAGAATGTCACTGCTTGTCACCACAGTCCAGGAACATAGATTGTAAAGAATCTAAGTGAAATGTTGTTATCTTAAGATGACTTAAAGCATTTTTATTTTTTCTCTAGATGTACAGGGGCTTCCAGATAATGCCACATGTTCAGTACATCTACACAGAAGCCTCTGAGAGTCTTTGTGGAGTCAAGCTGGAGGTCAACAAGTACCAATATCTGATTACAGGTAAAGGACAGTATACTTTGTAATCCAAACCTCTTCTGTTCTATACGTACATCTGCTAAGGAAATGGGCAGCTATGTACACGGCTCTATACGCAGTTTCCCAATTATTAAGAGAGCCAAGAGTATCTTGGTGTTCCTGGTGTTCAGTATTCTTTAATGGTAGGAGTCATTTCACTCTCTAGATTTCCCTCTTTCCTAAAGTGTCTCTTATACCCAGCCACGTTGTGACAAATACACTATATGAGAGTCCACAGCTGTCAGTCCATACCTGAGCTAGCATGTCTGTCACAGGGAACTTTTGGAATAAGCTGGAGAAATGCAGGCTGCTGAGATGGGGGGATGCAAGGAGATAGAGATGTGGCAGTTGCCAAGTCTTGCTTCTAGGGAAGCTGTCAATTCACTTAGTTTTGCTCTGTTGTTGAGAAGAGCTTGACAACATTATTCACCTGCATGTTGTTGCTGGTGCTTACAGCCGGCACAACACTCCTAACTTACAAAAGTGCTGTAATCTTGCTGGGGAGAGATTCCTGAACCAGTTAATAAAAAGAAAGCAGTTGCTGAGCAGTGACTGAAGCCAAACATATTGAGAGCATTAGCAATCTCAGGAAACGAGAAAAGTGCTTGAGCTGAGAAGTGCTAACTTGTGACCATGTCTCTTGTTTTCAAGGCCGTGTGTATGAAGGAAAGGTTTACACTGGCCTTTGCAATTGGTATGAGAAATGGGACCGGCTGACTCTGTCCCAGCGTAAAGGACTGAATCATCGTTATCATCTGGGCTGTGGATGCAAGGTATGTGTGTCTCTAATTACGTGGTGTTAAGACATTCAGACCCTAGAATTCCATTTCCCTTGGCTGGTAATACCAATGATGCTGGTGAACAGCCAGGAAAAGAAATGGAGGACAACAGTTTTTACAGGGAAAAAGTAAAGCTCAGCTTTAGTGTTGAGATGAGAAACAGTCAAATAAAAATGTGGAGTCTATGCCTTTTAAATGCCTTGTTGGAGTTAATTGGGGTTGGGGAAGGCTTTCAGAATCCATGCAGAATCATTTGCAGGTGAATGAAATCAGGTGCCAGAGGCTTGGCAAGATATGTCCAGCTTTTTTCCTGTGTAAACATTTTGAGTGTTTAAAACTTCACAGCCTGGCACTGGCACTAAGATTTTTGGCTCCAGGCCTGCAAAAATATAGACAGAAGCTCAACTTTTCTGCACCTGAGAAGCCCTTTTGACTCTGGAATTACCTGTGTATGTGAATCTAAGCACACGCTTACATGCTTACTGAACTGAGGCTGAATTTTGGGTTAATAAGCAAGGTTTGAGGGAGTGGAATTTTGAATCCCTTGTCTCTGGTAAAAAGACATTTTATATAATGTTGTTTTTCCATGTAACCTTACCTGATTGCTCTTTACAATTGCAGATTAGGCCCTGCTACTATTTGCCCTGCTTTGCCACCTCCAAGAATGAGTGTATTTGGACAGACATGCTCTCCAACTTTGGCCACTCCGGATACCAAGCGAAGCACTATGCCTGCATCCAGAGGGTGGAAGGTTACTGCAGCTGGTATAGAGGATGGGCACCTCCAGATAAAACGATAATCAATGCCACAGATCCCTGAGCACGCTACCCCTTCCTTATCTCCCCTCTCCCTTACTTGTGGCTGATCTTCCTTTGGACACTAACTCTTACCAGATCATGATGATGACAATGAAATTAGTGCCTGTTTTCATGCAAATTTTAGCACTTCATACGCTTAAAAAAGAAAAGAAAAAAAAAAAAAAGGAAAGAAAAGAAAAAAGTCTGTGCTACCTTACTGAATTTGTAATGACCTTTTCCATTTTTTGATACCACTCATTTTGATCAGACGACATTTGGGAGCTTACTTTTGCACACCAGAGGGAAAAATGAGAGGGAAAAGAAAAAGAAAAAAGATGGAGCTCTTGCTCTTTTACACGTATCATTAGCTGTAGCAATACAATCTCTATTTTTTTAGGAAAACAAAAATCTAAAAAGTATGTCAATTAGGCACTATATTCTTCTATGCGCTGGCTTTCCGTCACCCCTCCTCATGCAGTAAGTGCTGAAAGTATCTAGACAAATCTATCTGAAGGAAAACAGGTTTTGTTAATCAGATTGGCAAATGAAACTAACTGAAAAGAAACCCAGCCTAAACTTTGGAAAAAATGACGTCCAAAAGAAATCCTTCTCTATGGGAGAGATTGGCAATGTGATTGACTCCAGAAGTGGGAGAATTCACCTGGTGTGTCTGATCACATCATCTGGTAAAAGCATTGTTGACTGATTTGTCCTAGCTAATTCAGTTGCAGTGTCAATGCAACAGCACATTTGAAGTTCTGGCCTTCCCCAGAACAAAACAGAGTATTTTGGGGGTTTTTTGTTGTTGTTTAAAAAACAAAAGTCCCATCCCCTGTGTTCAGGGAGGTAAATCCACCTACAGCAGAGCAGATGAAGTGCTGTGCCATCCTGTTGTGAGCAGCATTGGCCCCTGAAATTTTTCCAGTTTAGCTTCACCAGTAAAACCAGCTTGCGAACACCTTAAATCAAACAGATGCAACAATACCAGCTGCAAATCAATCACATGGAAGAGGGAAAGGGGAGACTTGCTAGAGCTCTTACTATTAAAAAAAAAAAAATCTCTATTGCCAAAATAGTGTTTTGCTGAACTAAGATGTATATACACATAATGACATAAGCTATTTTTGACAGGACGTGGAATTTTTTTGGTGTTATAAACAAAAGAATGATTTGATTGTGTTTTAAAGACAGAAAGATTGACATTCCGAGTCAGTGAGTTGTTTTTAAGATATTGAAGCTCCAGTGTCTCTGCAGTGGTGGCTACAGTCACTGTTTCCTCTGTACCTCCTTGTGCCACAGTTCCTCCCTGCAGCTACACTAGCTGCATTTGTTTGTATAGTGAAAGGAAGTGTGTGTGGGGGCTAGGCAAGGGAAAGTGGTCTCCTAATAAGTGCTGGCTGGGATCATAAAATTTCAGCTGCCCAGAGGATTCCTTCTGCGTCAAGTGCTGTGTTTCCCTCTAGGCACTGTTAAGCATAGCTCTGTGCATGTGCTCATACCATATCCTGCAGTGATGTGGGAGGAGGAGCCTTACTGTCTTGTGCTTTGCTGTCGACTGGAGAAGTTTTTTCGTTCTATTTTGTTTTTTATTAAGAAAACTATAATATAATTTTTCTTATCAAATAAAAGTATTTTAAGTTTAATGATGGTGAAGAAGGGGTGCTGACAAAATGGGTGACTGAGTTTTGGATGGGGAGGGCTTGGGCAGGGAGAAGATTATGCTTAACTTCATTTTTGTATTATTATGATTATTTATCTTAAGTTTCCATGTATCTTCAGTTCATTCCACTTACAAAGCAGAGCTGCCACCAGCAGGAAAGAGTATTGCAGTGATTCCAGCCTGGGGCAATACACCATTTTACAGTCAGTGACCTAAATTACTGGAGAGTTGTTTGGGCCCTCTTTGCCAAATGGAAAGGAAAAGGTGTCTGAGATGGGCCCTGGTGAGTTTTTAGGTTCCTTGCCTGCTACCAGAGCTCTGACAGATACACACCCCCTGAAATGCCCCATTTACTAGATGAACTGTTGCAGTAAAAAGCTCATAGCTTCATTTTTAACATGGGCTTTGAAGGGCATTTTCAAGGAGTTGATGTAAGAGGTGCCTAGGTCTGCTGTGTTTTTTTTTTTTCCCAGCTGCTGTGAGTCGCAACGTAGCACAAAACACACTGAAAGTCTGTTGGATTTTCCTGTGATTCAGGCTTGGAACACTTTTCAGAAATCCTCTTCCCTGTGACTACTCCTAAAATATGGGTTGGAGATGAGAGGGAAAGTAGGGTGCTTCACAGCACCCATCATAGGATCAGGTGGTGGGTCAGAATGTTGCCCCTTTTGGCAGAGAATGGGGTTGGGCTTTGGGCACAGTGGAGCAATCTCTGTTCGAGCTGTGCACAGCTGACAAAATCTCTGAAGGTCACTAAGGGCAGAGTGGAGCCAGCCTCGCGACCCTTGCTGTTTGCGTCATGTGGAGTTGGCATCGCTGGAGATGGCCCTCCTCATGTTCAAGGAGACTTGCAAAGCTGACGTCTCTTTGAGCAGCAGCCACTTTGCACGGCTTTGGAAGGCTAAATGAAAATGCGTCTCGATGCAGTGAAGTGTTGATTTGAATTTTCATTAAACTACAGCTCTGCATATTTTACCTGTCACTGATTCATTTAGCTAGCTGAGACATCACAGTATTGCACTCAAATTATTGTGAAAATATTTGCGTTCTAATGCTATGAGGACTTGTATCCCTAAGTAGGATATAATGTAGCTTTGTGCTTTGTAAACAACAAACCAGCAGATGCATTACCAGAAAATGAAGCATATTCCCATTTTGTATTGCAGACGGTAAAATATTTCTGAGATGCAGACAGCGAGACAGGCAGGGGTGGGGGTTTGGTAGCAAATCTTTCCTCTTGCTGTGTAAAGAAACAGTTTTTAAGGCTTTTAAAAATGTGGAGCCAAAAGGAGGGGGAACAATCCAGTAAAAATACATTTCTTTTGGGAGGCTTCTTAATTTTGTTTCTGTGCATGCTATCAGGGACATGTATTTCTTGGGCTAAGCTTTAGCTTGTGTTTGCATTAAGAACCTGACTGAAGGCTCCCCTGAAGCGGGAGGGAAGCATTAAATAGATTTAACGGAGTCTAAATCAGACTCAAAGACTTCTTCCTTTCTATCTGCTCTCCTTTCTTCTGTCCTGCTAAGACACTTCTGCCTGCCAATGGACAAAACTGTCTCCCTCATTACAGCAGGCCATGCAATATGTGGGAACCCCAGGCATGGAGACGTGAGGAGGCAGGTGTGAAGTTCTCCCCAAAATGTTAGGCTGTAGAGCATACAATGGCTTGGCAGCAGCACAGATATCTTCCTATCGCCTCTGACATGCTCCTCACTAAGGTGAGAGGAACTGTCAATGGCACAGCTCATGTGAGCATGACCTTTGGACAGGTACAGGATGAGGGCTTTCTTGCCCCGCCTCCCATGCTTTAGATATACAAACATTACCAAAAGTACTTTTTTAAAATGCATAGCTCACTTGTAGACTGTTGCTGTTTGCTTTCTTATTTATAGATATTTTTCCTTACTTGCTTGAGTGTGTATTCCCCTTCAGAATTAAAAAAAAGAGGAAAAATGTATTGAAGGTTTGTGAAAGATTGCATTTGATTTTCCTTTTCCAAAATGGAGAGGGTTGAGAGCAGGAGGAGGTCTGTGCATGGAGTACCTTGAATAAAGTCCTCTTATGGGACGCTTTCCCCTCCCCTATATGAGGCAAAACTGCCATTTTAGGTCTAAATTTCCTATGTTTTCAAGAGTTACATGGCCCTTTAGGTAGGATTATTCTAAAACCTAAATATATCCCCATATCCCATTCGTACTTGGCTGGAGTGAAATGCTACCTCAGGGTGATGGGAAACATGCTGTTATGTTTTTTATAGTAAAGACTGTTTGAAATAAAGACCTCCATGGGAACAAGTTTCCATTCTTTCAGATGTCTCTGAAAGTATATCTCACTTATAATGTATTTTATAGCTTACAAGGGCAGAACAAAATTTAGGGAACTGCCAAAAATTTTTTGTCTTTTTTAGAGTAAGTGTCTTTTGGGGCTACCTGTCTTGAGAAAAATCTTAAAAATCCACTAAACCTTTGCTGCTGCTTTGCCTGTACTGGCTTCTCATTCTCTCTGACACTGTCCTTCCTTTATAGAGCCGCTCTGCTGTTCCTGATAGTCATGGAAACTTGGGGAGGGAACCAAACCCATGTGAAATAACTTGTCCAGAAGGAATGTATTTGTTGCTAAATTTTCTAGCACTGTTTACAGTTTTCCTCCATGTTATTTATAAATTTTATATTCAGTGAATGTATATTGTCTTTTAAGGTAATGTTGCATAATGTTCACTTTTTATAGTGTCCTTTTATTCTAAACAGTAAAGTGGTTTTATTTCTATCACAGACATTCTGTCTCTGCTTCACTTATATTAGTTTCTGTCCACTTCAAATGTACACAAATGGATTTGCAAGTGGATTTATTAATTTCCTTCCCTCTCATGATACCATTTTATTGGGCTCAAAGCCGATATTCCACCTCTGGCAATTCTTGCTCTTTGGCAAGGACATCCCTCCAGCAGTCCCTCCCTCTTTTTAAGAGGTTGCTCTCTCTAATAATTGTTGTTGGGAGTCCTAGGTCCAGGAGAGCCAAAAAGTCCCTTTTGAAATTAATGTTAACTGGCCATAGGGGGTCAGTACAGAGCAAGGCAGTCGTTATGGATGTTGTGTAGCACCAGTAGGGCCTTAGAGGAACAGTTGCCAGATTGCTCTAATTTCCAGTAAACTCATCACTGGGTGGCAGGTTGAAAGGTACGTGCCCATGGCAAAGGGAAGAGAGATTTCATCCTTCAGATCTTTTCAGCTGTGAAATGCCTGAGCCTCGTGTCCTTTCTTTAGGTTTACTGGTGAAGGCTGCTTAAAAACGCGCTGTTGTCACAAGAAGGAAGCTTCAGATAAAGTGTTTTCAACTAAATTAAAATGCTCACAAAAATGGATCTACTGTTAGAAATTTCCTTTATCTCATGTTTACTTTAGGAAAATCTCTATTGTCTACAAGCATGAAAGAATGAAACAGATTCTTAAATTGGTTCTATGTTTCATCCAGAGGTTTATAAAGCAAGCTGTGGAAAATTTTGGACATAGAAGGATGAGGATCTCTTACATGAGAACTTAATTGCTTAAAGTGCACCACACTGCAAAGAGGTAAAACCGTAACACTAGTTATAAACACTTCCAGGGGGTCAGCACCAAAGGACAACAGCATATTTTATGAGTGCTAACTGGTACAGCTTGAAATTGCCTCCAGG